CGAAATCAAATATTCCAAAAAATCATTTACATATTAATGTATTTTACAAAGAAGTCGATGACAATTATTTTAATCTATTCTAACCCAGAAGACGACGTATAGTACTTAACGACGTGATATGAACGAATTCACAACAAGTTAAAGACTGATATGACATTGAACAAAACCCTAGAAACTAATTTTAGATATCGAGAAAGAGAGACAGATGGACTAACACTGCTAAATCCATTTATTCTACTATACTTGACAAAATTATGAATGACGAATGTTTTCTATATATCTATATACCAAAACTTTGGCACATCTAAAGCTGAACCATTTCATGAATTAATATTGAGCATATCCGATTTTAAGACGATCGATGTCGCTATATACCTAAGTTATTGTTCTGTTCGTGGTAATAATTTTATGGATATTATAGAGCAAAAAATTTATGACACATTTTTCGTTCTAACGCTAATTTCTGATTCCTTTGAAATCATGCTTTGCTTCAATATTTTGAAATGAAGCGCGTGGAATATAGTATGGATTAAATGAAAGAAAGCCTTAACTTATACAGGAAGTGAAAAGTCTTTCTCATGATGAAAAAACTTGATTCTATATGAATGTGTTTTTATCGAAACTAATAAATATATTCTGTTTCAAAATGAATATATATAAAAAGTACATACTCGTTTTCCCTCGACCTTAAAAAGACTGGCGTATTCCTTGAACCCGAACTGCCGCTAGTTTTCTGCGGACTTACACGCCGCATGCCATTCGTAAGGCTGCGAGATCTCGGCATAGCTCCAGTTGTTGTAGGAGTGACAGCTTTCTGTGTGCGTCTCGTACGAGAATTCGTTAAACGTCCCATACGTCCACGCCCACCAGATCCCGTAACGCTTTCACCACTACTACCGCCGCTACTATTCAAATGCGGCACACTCGAAGCGCGTGTTACCATTACGCTAATGTCTTTTTGTCGATAACGATTTCTGATTATTTATTACTTTCTTTTAAGAATCAATTTATATTCCTTAAATATTTCGAATACATATTGTCATATTACTACGAATTTATTCCGTTCATTTATTCCGTTCACAACGCAGAGCTCTAATTAACACTAAGCATAGTGCATTAGAGTTTTAAACTTTTCTTGCAAAATTCGACCAGTTGCTATATTTTTTTTCGAGACCGCTTACTAACAGTTATTCATAGCTGAAGCTATGACTATTAGACTATTCCCGTTGTACCGTTTTAGCGCCCAGCGGCAAAAAATTCCGTTGTGTTAACTATAAAAATTTTGCTCGAACTGATTTCGCTGCGTATTTTGCCGCTCTTTTTATTCGTCAGACTGTGAACTTAATTGTAACGTCGTGTCGTTTTTCCCTATGTCCTTTGGAGATTTATGGTAATTTTTACTCAGTGGTCAACTATGGTTAGCCACATTATAGCGCAATGCATAAACCATGCACGAACTACGTAGTTGTGTGGTCGAGAGAGGCAGGACAATTAAGTGCGCAAGTAAAAAGAAAAAATGAAAAAACGATAAATATAAATATAAAAATCCACACGAAAGTTATGAACACACACACACACACCCTTAGAAGACGTATCTAGTCTGCGGGCACCTGTGAAGTACTAATGCTTTTGTGTTAACTGAAGGTCTATGCTTTTGGTATCGCTGGTGGTGGTGACACCTGACACCTCTATAACTGTTTTAACATTTAATGCGGTCGCTCTTAACACTTTACAGCTATCGAAAAACTCCCAATGCTCATTTTTTTTAAGGCTTCAAATTGCATTGGAACGAGCATACAAGTTCCAATAGAGAGTTTTGATTGATCTTCATTATCTATGCACTTATCTAATTTGAAACTTACATTGGTTAGAATCGGTTTTGTTTTTTTAAGAATATTAACTCTAATTTCGAGCGTTAATTTTTAGTATATTTCTATAAGTACTTTTCTATAAATAGGCAAATTCGTTTTTGTCTTCATCAGGAGAATCACTAGTTTTAGAGATTATATTAATGTACTAAAAATTAAATTAAATTAATCGAAATTAAAGTTAAAATTTTTAAAAAAAAATAAAACCAATTTTAAAGTTATTTCGACGTAACTCAAAAATTAAAAACATTGATTAATCTACAACTGAAGCTTTTCCACTACACTCTTCTTCCCCTTTTATTTTGTGTCATATTTATATTATCACTTTTGGATTGATCTGACAGATGTTAATGTTCTCAAAAGATTTTAAATAGAATGCAGGAAAATAATTAAATGTCTTGGTTAAATAAGCGCTAGACAGTCTCATCACACATAACTAACGATATGGGTAAAACAAATCACAAACCAATGGAAAAGTTCAAATTTCTAATCATATTCATTCCTAATCCTAAGCATAATCAAATATTGTATTTATTAAATTATGCTAGAAATTCTACATCAACTGACTTCATCATACAATTTCGTCCTTGTTTTATCCATCTCCTCGTCTATTAACAATTGTAACACAATATTCAGCAATGAATCAACTTTTCCTTGCAAAACTAAATAAATAAGCAATTAAAAATTATTTATTACTGGAAGAAGAAGTCGAGGAGAATAAAAGAGTTTTCTTTAATAGAGAGCCAAACTTAAGTGCTGTAAATTTGTATATTTATATTTTCTCACATTTAACCTATGAATTTTCCATGTCTGTATGTATATAATTCTTAAAATTGATATCTCTAACTCTCCTCAAAAACGACAAAGAAACATTATGATATCAAACCTTTAGGATTATTGGGTTCTAATCTGCCTTAATGTTAAACTAATAAATTCAAGCAATTCACTAAAGACTGTAGAAGAACTACCTACGATCCACCTTAACAGTGATCGTGGATTCGAACAAGTTTAACTATGGTAATAACTATCAGTAACGCAAAAGAATATTAGCTGTAAATGGAGTAGTACTTTTAAGTGATGTTGGTTGGGGGGTTATATCTATTGGAAGTACATAATTGATCGTTTGAAGTAAGCCATCATTTTAAATTCCCAGTACTTTAAAGAAAATTTAACTGATGACATATTTCATTTAATGTGTTAAATTGATATTATTCGAAATTTAAATAAACTAAGTTGTTTTGTGAAATTATAAAATGTATAATTCTCTCTTAAGTGTGTATTCCATTATACAAAATGTAATTATTTTTAAATTGTTTTTTTTTCATAACTACAACTGATGATATTGTTTATAGCAAGTAACTGTTAACAAATTCTTGCAACTGTACTACGTATATGGGTAGTATTTAAGGGTTGAAAAATTATAGAGAACCAATGGCTAATGAAAAAAAAAAAAAATAATGTAAGTCATGATATGTTTTCACTACTACGCGTAATTGATACCCTTAACGTTTTTAATTGTTCCTTATCTAGACTTTTCATTGAATGATAATTGCAGAATATAATTATGCTGGTAATAAAAATTATATAAAGATTAATAGCATTTTATATAGTATTTGAAATTAAGAATAATTTTGTGTACTATACCGAACTAGTTCATTTTTAAGTATATTGTCCTTTGAAAAATTTTTAACAAAAACAGCAAACTTCTGCCACTATCAAGATATGTTTTAGTCTCCTTCCCAAAAACTTTACCTAACTTACATCATGCGCAGATGAAAACTGCATTGTGTGACTGACTGTGAACTGCATTAAATAACATAGAATTTTGCGGCAACCGCTAAAGTTAAGCAGATTGAACTTTGTCGTTGCCGTGCAGTTGTTTTATGTGGTTGTACAATTTTTTAAATATTCTGCTTTCAGTCTCTCGTCTATTAAATCACATAAGATATTTCATTTCATTAAATTAAGAACCACTCAGTGAATATAAAATGGGTAATTTTTAACATTCTGCATTGTTGCAGTCTTACCACATGTGGCGATTAAAGTTTTTAATAGGAGGGCATAAAATAATACATAGTCTTAATATAAAATCCAAAACTCATTTGTCATATAAAAAAGTGAAGCACTTCGACATAGACTATCAGCAGTCACTTTTGTTAACTGGATTTAATCTATTGGCAATTTTTAAGTCAATAAAATAATAGTTGAAAAAAATCCGGGCTAGTAAGACATTGCTTTGTTATAGAAAAATATTCATTTTCAGCACTTCCTCAAAAAGTGTCCACAAGAATTTTACGCGGTTGCATTAACACATTATTTAACTAAGTTTTTTACAATAATATGGGCTTTATTACAGGCAATTATACAATCGTTCCAGTACTACAAATTTAAGTTTCTAATATTTACAATTATGTAAGCCTTACTATATACTTGTAAGTGCACATATATAAGACATTCATTCTTTTTTCCTACACATAGTTTTTCTATAATATATTTTTCAGTTACATATATACCTAATTCCGACATATAAACACATATTTCTTTTATATATATAATATATGCAATGTTGCTTAATGTAATTAATAACTAAGTTATGGAATAAATATATTAAAAATTAATTTTCCAAGTTCATTATTTAAGCTTAATCAATCTAAATTATTTACAATATTTTTTTATATGTTCAGTTAAACTTATTCTAAAGGCTTAAATAAATATTTAAGATAGATACTCCTATTATTATATACATTGTGTCCACATGATAGTAAGCAACGTAAATACCACGTATCATGTGTGTCATTACTAAGAAATGCACATCCTTTTTATTGTATTTCTTTAATAACTTTATGAACTTAAGTCCCAGAGATAAAATTTTAATTAGTTTTAGTTTAATTTTGTAAAAAAAATTGTTACATTTAATTATGATTTAAATTATTATTTAATAAGCGTAATATTCGTCTTAGTATTTATAACTTATATAGTTAATTAAGTGTATTTGATTTCATAATTCATAAGACGTTCTTTATATCAATGTATGTGACAAATTTGTGTTTGTGTTGAAGTTTATATTTTTATAATTTTATATTACATACTAGTTTTTGTGTAAAGTTCTTCAGAATACTGCGGCCTGCATTCTGCACAAAACCATTTACCTTGCGGCGCTACCATAATACCAACGCATTCAAAGTGGAACCATTCTATTAGACAACTTGCTCCATCACAGGCAATCATTTCTGATACTTCGTCATAAGGACAACGACAGTAACAATAAACTGCTTCCCCTTCGCGAGCTTGACGTGCACCGGCTGGTGGTCGTATGGGATAACGAATATTGTTAGCTTTGAAATATTGCAATGTAGGTAAATCAGGATTAGGTAAGAGTGCTGGTGGAATTTTGTGACGGAAAGCTTTTGTTTCAGGTGTAGGTGGAGGCGGTGGCGCACGAGGTAACTCCTGTTGCGCAGTGCGAAACATTGGATTCGGTGGTTTCGGGGGACCAACTGGAGTAAGCACACTAGTCGTCTGCGGTACATATTTTTGAGGCTCTTGTGGCGTTCCTTCATCAGTGCTGCTTTCGTCGCTGTTATTGTAACTAGCATTAATAATTGTTGAGTCAGTATTTGTTGTGAAATTATATGGTAGAGATTGCTTCTGTGGTTGATCCGGTACAGCGAATAAAGAAATGGTAGTTGTTCCTGTATCCTGATTCAATTGTGTCATTGGTATTTTTAAAGTTGGAATTGGCATTTGATTTTTTTTCTTACGTTTACGGGAAGTCTTTTCAGAATCTGGGTAGGAATTTCGCTTTTTTAGCGTCAATTTATTAACTAGTAAGTTTGATAAACGTGCTGGTTTACTTTTTATTATGCTCCTTGAAGGTGTGGGTAAATCTTCTTTGTGCCACGTTAATTGCGGTGGCGATTGTGGCAGATAGGGATGCGTTCCTTTTCGTAAGTTATTTGTTGGGTTATCCTCTTCAGATGAATAACCGTAAAATCTGTTTCGTCGACGTGAACGCTTAGAGCGTTTAAGGGCAGCATCTGCATCAGAACAGCTGCTACCTTCACTTTCACGTTTAAAGCCTATATGTTTTGCAATAAGTTGCGAAGGCGAAGGTGTCACGGGCGGTTGGTGGGTTCGGCAAGCAAGACCGAACATTGAGAATGAATTATGCAATGGAGTGGAAAGCGCCTCTATAATACGTTGTTCTGGGGTTTTTTTATTTGATTTTTGATGATTCGTTGATATTGCTAATTTTTCTGTTATTAAATTTTCTGTTGCTTCTTTTGTAATAGATATGATGGACTCTGAGATTGTTGATGCAGTAGCACCTACTTCAGTCATGGTATTTATATTTAGCGCCGGCGCTTCGGTATTAATTGTTTGACTTGCGGATTTACGTTCACGTTTTTTCTTTTTCATTTTGTTTCTCTTTCCAAATGTTGTATCATCAGTAAAGTTTGCTACGCCCTCATCTTTCATTGACACAGACGTATCTCCCACATTTAAAGCCTCACTCAAAAATCTAGCCCGAGCCTTTTCTAATAGCTCCATATTCATTTTTTGTGGATTCTTGTCATAAAAATCTTCATCAGTATCTGAATCTGTAGTCCACAAATCCGTTTCAAGAAATACAATATTTGGAGCAGGTGATTCATTTGGTTTTTCAACTTCATTCAATTTATGTTTGTTTCCTTTATCTTCTTCATTAATTAATTCAATCCCATTATGCGGTTTTTTTGGAGAAATACTTTCGCTTTTTCTACTCAAACGGTCTCTTTCAGACTTTTTGCGATAATTTTTACGTGAAGACGAATGTGACTCTTTAGATGAGTCACTATCATCTGAAGAAGAGCTACTCGACGTTTCACTTGTGTTTGAGCTACATGAGCAATTTGATTCACAACTGCAGCTGCTATCAGAACTTGAACTGCTATCACTTGAGCTAGATTCATCTGAATTTCGTCCTGATCGCCGATGAACTTTACTGTTCTTGCGTTTATACGGCGTGCTATATGATATGTTCATTGGTGAATTTATTGGAGTTTTTTCATTTTGCGATGGAAGATTTGTTTGAGCTTTAAACAATGAACAATAATCATGATCAGAAACAGTAACAGGTATCGGTTGACCAGCAATTGGATAGCCCAGATCACTACACTCTGACTCATTTCGAAGTCTTTTTAACGCTACCCCAAGTGCCGCACTCTTTTCATTCTCATGCTGTGATTCCATAAAATTTTTCCAAATTTCCAAAGCATTTCCAGTGTCAGAAATTTTTTTTGTCATATTTTCTTCGTTACTAGCATTTTCTGCGTCTGATAACGGTGACAGCATAGGCTGTGGTACAGAGTTTATATCAAAGTTTTTTACTGGGATCTGACTATCTCTATCACTTTCATTACTACTATCAGATTCGGAAAGATTCGGTACAACCAAATTAAGATCTGCAATAGATTCTTTCGACCGTTTATTTTTTTTCCTTTTTTTATGTGGAACTTCAGTTTCATCTTTTTCATTTACAGAGATTAATTCTGTAACAGTGTTATTTGCTTCCTCTTGTTTAGGCTCATCTTTTACTTCACTGTTAGGAACACCAACACTGTTATCAGTGGCCACATCCTCCTGTTTGGACATCCTTCTGTTCTCATTTTGATAGCATTTTTCTTCCAATTTGTTACCAACATCAGGCTTCTGTTCTGTTAACTCCAACGGTGGGTTATGAATTGTTATGTGTTTTAACATCAAACGTTTTGAAACAAATTTTTCACAACAGTTTTCTTTATCACACTGATATGGAAACTGGTTTAGGTGTTCTCTTCTATGTACATTTAAATATAAGGATTTACTGAAACTCATATTACATATTTCACATATAAATTCACTAGGCGGCGCACAAAAATGATATACATGTCTCCAACGTTTCTGTAAGCAACGCTTACAAATTATACTTTCAGTACCATGCTTCCAAAACAAATGCCTAGTAATATCAATTTTGCTACGATATGCTATACTGCAACGATAGCAAAAATGATTTAGTTTATGTTTCCATACGTGTGAAGCGAGTTTACTTTGATCCTTACAATCCTCCAAGCACACATCACATGAAACATGTTTTTTTCGCAAGTGCACTATTAATCTAAAGGCCGACGGTATGTTATTTAAATCACACAAACAACACCGATATTTCATATCCAGAGGTGACAATTTGTTTGATACTCCAGGACATATGTGGCAGAGTATTTCACTGAAACTAAAAAAATTTGTACGACACATAAAACAAAGTATAGCAGATTTATTGTGATTTTTGCGGTTGTGCATATACAATTCTTTGTAGGTAGTAGTTGCATAACGGCATTGAAAGCATTCGAAGGTACGCTCATTAAACGATTTTGAGTGCTCTCCATCCTCATAAGTACAATAGTTCGAAGAATTTAAATATTCGTTTTCTAATAATGGCAATAAACTTTTAAGTTTATCTACTATTTTTTCTGTTTTTAATTCTTCGGCAGTTATGCTATCTACAACTGCCGTAAAGCGATGTTGAGATAGCATATGCAGAGCAAGACTTTTTCCATTGACGGCAATGCGGCGCGCATAGTTACAATATAAACAAATTGAATGCACAGCGAGTAAACATATCCGCAAAAAACTAACAGAATTTATCTTGCTTAGTGGTTCGCTCAACTTTAACTCCACAGGCATTACATCTTCATTAGCAAGTTCTATACCATCACCCGACACCACTTTTTCTGGATCACTTACTTCTTTACATTCATCGTCTAACATAGTATTACAAACATCAATTTCTTGACTTTCGTTGTTCTCTGTCGAACTAGAACTTATAGATAATTGACTAAGAATCGTCTCCTTTTCTAGACATTCGAGATCAACAGATATTGACAGAGAAGTAGGTTCTACTGTAGTCTCAGTATTTATTGTATCTACGTTATTGTTTCTATCATCTAATGAAGTTGGGTCCTTTAATGCATTAGCTGTACTTATAGATATTACCCTAAAAATAAACATTAAACAAATAATTAACACAAAAATGTCTCAGTATTTACTTACTCTCTTTTAGTTATTGTTTCATCAATCTCCATTATTTCACTACCCTGACTGCATTTCCGATCTCTTAATCTATGAGGAGGTGTCAGCTGCTGAGGAGGTATTTGTTCACCTGACAACTGAATTTCAGTTGTGGGATCTATAGCTTTCAATTCGTCTTTTTGGGTTACCAAACGCGATGAATGTGGTGAAATTGGTGGAGTAGGTACCCAATGTGGTTCTTTTAAAAACTCACTTGAGCATGGCGGTGACTCTAATTTATTTTGGTTAGCGAGTTTACGCATCTGCTGTTTATGCTTCCTACGTTCAATATTTTGTTTGGTACGTTCAATTTCTTGTTGCAGTAACATCATTTGTGTACTAGTCTCATCAGGAGAATCCTCATCATCAGGAAGGGACATACTTTTATCATTATCATCTTGTGATAAAGTTACTTCGGCAGCTGTCATAGTATTGGAATCATAATCAAGAGAGGGAATAAAATCTGAAGTGGCTGCCACTGGTGAGTTATTAGAATGTTCACTAACTTTTGCCACACTCTTTTCAGAAGAATCTCTTTCTACCTCTTCTTCTTCTTCACTTTCCATTGAACTAATCGCGTCGTCTACGGATTTTTGAAACTCTTTTGGAACTCGTAATTTTATTTTAGGGACGATTAACTTATCTGGCACACTTAAAAGAGGTGGCACAAGAGGTGATGAATTTTGGATCGGAGAATTTATTTCGGAACTAGAAAGGTGACTTAATTGAGCTTTGTCTATATCTATACCCGTATCTTCACTAATGTGACTTTGGGTACCGTCTGTTAACTGAATTTGCGAATTATGGCAATTTATTTGCAGCTGAGGTTCAAGACGAGCTTTTATATCACCGCTAATTAAACCTATAGGGGAATTCTGCTGGTGAGAATGTTGAAGCCTAATAATAATGAAATGATTTAAATATATATATTGTAGTTTATATTAATTTGTTGTACAAACCTTTCAGATCCAAACATCGGTAACGGTGGATAAGAATTTATTTCATTCGAAGCAATTTTAACGGATGATACAGGTGCAGGTGTATTTTGGCTGAGTTTCGATACTGATGTATGTGGGCTTTCCAATATATTTGTTTTTCTGCTAATATTATGTAAGTTACGCGTTACTTCAATTTGTACCTGTGTATTTTTTAAGTTTTGAACCAAATTTTCATCTGCACTAGCAGGTTTAAAGTAATTGATGCAATCATGTTCTGCATAAAAATCGGTTGATTTAAACATATGTTGACAAGTACAACAAACCAGTAAAAATTCGTCTATTGGCTGACCATCACTTTTCACTATACTTTGTTTTAATACCTCATTTGAACTGAAGTGATTTTGCTCCATGTCATGTTTGTTTTCTAGATGCATAGCCAGTTTTTCTACAGTTATATACGTTTTTGTACAGTACACACAATAAAACTTCTTATGTTTCTCTCTCATATGAACAAACATTTTCCAACGTATATACACTGATTTGCAAATTGTGCATCTAAGCAAGGGTTCATTTATTATAGGCTGAATAAAATCCTCTTGATATGAACATTGGGTCTCAGGTTTAGATGAAAATACATCTAAATTGAGGTTCGATCTACAAATTGATCCGCGTGTGGAAAACTCTGGAATTGTGTTAAGTTGTTCCGTGTTCATACTTAACGATTCCAATTTTGTGTTATCTCCCGTGGGCACAACGGATGAACATGACATAGATGGAAAAGTAGTGTTTGCAAGTGTTCGTAAAGTTACTTCTGATGTTTGAAATATTGTTTTACGTATTGTATTAGTATCTAAACAAGGTTTTTCCAATTGTTGTAACAATATGGATTTTGTGGGAACTGTGCTGACACGAACATCCTACAAAATATAATATATTTAAATATATATGCACATTTATTAAGATACACAATTGACAGCTTACCTGACTTAAATCCGTTGGTTTCACTAACACTAAATTTTTCTCTGTTTTGTAACGATCATTACAAGTCAAGTCGATAGCTTCATTTCGAATATTTTCAATTAAGAACTTTTTTTTTGGTTGATTTTCTTTTTCTGTATTACTACTACCGCTACTTGTTTTTCGCTTAATAGTTAATTTTATTGGTGGTTGTTGCAATTCGTTTACCGGTGATGTCGGCTGAACTAATTCAACGTCTTGGTCATCTAATTGCTGATCAATAACCAATTGATGTGAAGACGAAGAATCCGTTGATTTACAAGACGACAACATTGACGACCGACTTGCTTCATTTACATCAACCATATGAACGTAATTTTGTGTATCTCTCCCCATTGCGTCTTCGTTAGATATAAGATTTGTATTTAGTTCATCAGTACAGCAATCTGTATTATAACTCTCAACAAAAGAATTATTAATTCGGTTTGATAAATGTCCTGATGTATTTGTGTTATCTCCATGTTCACCATTAACTTTAGAAATAGGTTTATATGGAGAACTTTTCGAATTTTGTGAAGAATTAGAAATCGTGCTATTTGAAAGTGTTCGTTCCCTATTAAAAGCGCTCTTTGAAATATCATTTAAGTCATGATGGCTATCATTGGTTTTAACAGATAGATGGTTACAAGATGCGCTGTTATCGTTAGCAATGTTAAACGGTTTTGCGTTCAACGATATTATGCTACTATCGTAAGAATAACTTGTACGACAGTTATTGGCTAAGCTGTCTTCAGTTTCAAGCACTTTATCTTCATTTTCTTTTGAAGAGTTTTCTAAATCACAATCGTTATTCAACGTATTAAAACAATTGCTCAATTTTTGTTTAATTATTAAATCTGATACTTGGTCATTACTGAAAGAATATTTTCGGTTTTTTATCTCTGCATTCCCGTTACTCGAATCAGTTTTGTTTGTGGTATCATCCACAATGTAATTGAGCTTGTTACATATTTGAGTAGACTCCTTTTCCGCCTCTATACTATATGCTTTTGAACATTCGTCAGTTTCATTATCTATACTCAGAGAATTACCAACGTAGTCGTCATCACTGAATTTCTCATCAAAGCTGATATTATTTGTATTAACTGCAAAATCGTCATTTTTGTTCTGCTTTCGAACATTGATAAATGGTGCCATCGATAAATTATTTGTTTCGCATTTGACAAGCGATTCATTTTTATGGAGATCATTTGGCGTACTAACTATAGCTGTCACGTTTTGATAAAATTCTCTACTTTCAGTAGTGTCATTTGGACTTTCAGATTGTGTATTGGAAATATCATTATAATTATTGCTATTTACTTCTTTTTCCAAAGAACCGAACGTAGAATTGTTAGATAAATTGGGTACATTATTATCAATTTTATTTGCAATAGTTGCTTCGTACCCTTCATTGTTTAATTCTTCATTGTTTTTTGCATTATTTGTAATTGTTTTTGTATTCAATGTTTGGTTTTTAAGGAACAAATCACTGGTGTTTGCATAAGGTGGTTCATGCTGCTCAGAGGATTTGTGAAAATCATCACCATTTTCCAAAGAATTTTTCTTACTATGTGTGAAAAATAAATGTTTAGAGTTTGAAGCATGTTCCTCTGATAATGCATTAACATTAGCTTCATTATCATCTGAATCATATGAAGAATTTCTTGACTGATTGGAAGATTCCTTAATGTTTACATTATCTCTTCTATCACCACCGGTTGAAGATGGTTGATTCAAAGCTTCCATCATTTTCTCAAGGATAACTGAAATAATAAAGACTAATGAACAAAACTGTTTTCAAATATTCACATATATCGTTACGTACCTTAACATCTTATTACTTTAATTGGTAAGGATATAATTGCCCACAATATTAAATAATGCTAAAAATGCAAACAAAGAACACTTGTTATTTTTCATTTGAGAAAAAATGTATATACATATAACCAGAAAGAATTCATCTTCAGTTAATAAGGAAAAACTGCTAACGTCTTAAAAAACCAGTTAATCACTATATTTGAAATAGTAAATTATTTCATATTTACACAATACGCAAGTGTAGAATAAAAACAAAAATATAAATTCATCGAAATATAAATCTAAGCTGATCCTTTAAGTATTAACAATATTTATTATAACTGCAGGTCTTCAAATGCAGAGCATATGTGTTAAGGTACACAAGATAGAACTGAACGCGAGCTAAACTATCTGTTCATATAGGGGAAAGATGATTCCGTCTTTTAATGGATAAGAGATTAACTGATTTTTAGTGAAATGTTTATTGAAACTGATGCTTTATGGATCATAATATCGCAAAGGAACTGTAGATCAACTATAAAACACTTTTAAACATTTAGTGCATGATTGGCTATAAAAATAGATATATGTTAAAGTGGCTTTTTAACTAACTTATCTACAAATCACTTTAAAGGGAATATATAAAGAAAAATTGATACTTAATGGAACCACCTTGTTATGAGCCAAAAGATTGTCTGAAATCAATTTGAACAGAATTGATCAAAATGAGAAGTGATGTGTTGTATTATGACAACAATATATCAACTACAATGTTGATGATCAGACAAAATACGGATAGACCTTACCTGGGAAGTTTTGATACATTTACTATGAATGCTGCACCATCAGAACTATTATTATTTATTCCAATCTACACTCTATTGTTTCCTGAACAGAGACATTAAGAGCAATAAAGTTGATAACGAACTCATTATATCACATCCCACAACATTTTTTATCGATACCGTAGATATTAAGAATCAATTAAAGCTTGTACATAATGTTCCGCAATGCTATTTAATCAAAGAGTGAGAACATATGGCAATGGCTTTGCAGCTGCAATGTGACTAAGTTAATTAACGACTTATTCCACTCAACTTATTCAAAACTAATCAATTTTCAGTCATCTTCCAGAAAAGAACTGGACTATAGATTCTCGGACCATTGTCATCTCTTGAAGACAAATATTTACGATTAAAAGTGAAACACGTGACACTCAGTACTAACCGAGTAATATTACATTTACAAATATAATAAAGTATTTTTTTTATGTAGTTTTGTAGGATCCTTAATTTGGCAACACTGTATTGTCACCTTTAGTATATCTTTATGCTGATATTTGCGAACCGATCATTATTTCTAACGAAGAGTCAAAAAACTGTGTGAATTAAAACAAAACTATAAAAATTATAGAATATAATCTGTTACAAAACGAAGGAACTCACAATATATAGTACACAAAAGAGATAATTTATAATAATGGCTAACATTTTGGTTTGGTACTATGCAATAATATTGGTGAGTTTAACGATCAGTAATAAATCACATTTTGATAAGATCACGGCCACTACATGACGGCGATTCTATGAGTATTGGATTTATGTACCGTTGCGCTCTATGCGGTCGGCAATTTGCGTAACCTGGACTTAATTTAATTCGAATTTTTACTTGCTTAGGCAAACTCCGTTTGCAAAATATTGAATCTATTATGACCTGACCCATCTTTTTTTCTTTCTTGTTTCCTATTCAAGGATTTGAATTCACTACAGAATCATCATACATGGTAGTATAAATCTTTTTTCTAGAAGAGATGGCTTTTGAAAAATCAATTATTTTCCTAATTTTGGTAAAGGATAACAAAAATAATGCTAGGCATTAACATATATAGTGAATCTGGCAGTATTAAGCAAATATATACAAGTTTCAGAAAAGAAAAATATGTGCTACATTGATTATAATACCAATTCCAACTCGGTAATGTTAAGTTATGCTAGAGAGGCATTATCAGAGGCCCAACAGAAGTCCACTTACTAATCTTGAACAATCCCTAAAAAAATTGTATCAACATAAGAAAATACTATTTTCCTAAAAATATTAATTTTATTTTAAACTTACTACATAATTATTAAACGATCGTTTTGAATTTCGATTCGTTATATTTAACTGAATATGCACTATAAGAAGCTAATTACTGCAATAGCTGAAGATCTGCAGAAGCTCTTTACTATCACAGTAAACAGCATCTGTCCTGTTGCTCGACAAATGCAATAGCATTCGTTAAATATCAGCCAACGAATTACTGCCGTGTATTTTGAAATTCATGGACTTTGGCAGAATATTTTTAACGTTTATTGCAACTTTTTCACTAAGAAACAAAAATAAATAATTAAAAATAAAAGCCAATATTTCACTTTAATTATGTTTTACATGCCGTTTTGCTTTGTTTGTATTTTGAAGCATTTTATCAAATTCGCCTTTTGTTTTTATTTTTATAGGCAAAACTATGACTAACAGCATTCACAGCACATGACGCAATAACATTTTTTATCAAATATCAACCACAGTTGAATACATTTAAATAAATTATTTTAACATAAACTCGAAATTAACTACCCAACGACTCTAAGCCATCACATCAGGAAAAGAAAACGAAAAAACAAAAACAAAATGTGCAATTCAACAAACATTAAAGCAAGAAGCTAAACGGCACAATCGCAAGACAATGTAAACAAATAAAAGAAAACGCGAGAAGAGGCACAAATGTAAAATTGAAATTGCGCCTTTTTCTTTTTGCTTATTTTTTGGTAGTAAAGCAGAAGCAGCAGAAGCAGCACTAAAATTACCAAAATAAAATGAAAATAATTGAAATTAACATTTTGCTCACAACGCGCAGCAGACGGGAAGGAGGTAAGTAACACAACATTCTCTAACAACAAAAACACATCCAGTAAATAAACTATTTAAAATAATTTAAACCATAAATACACAAATCAAATTATTCTAATATTTACTAACAAAGCAAAAACAGGTCTAGAAATAAACAATTAATATCACAGATATAACGTGAAAAATATTTTTACCTTTTTTCTTTACTTTTTAAACGTCAAAAAATTTGCGATTTATTTTTTATTACACAGCGTAATTAAAACAAACGTGGAACGAATCAAAAAGTGTTCCACCCTTGAAAAGGTTTGTTGCTTTTTTAGTTTAGGTGTTTGGATGCAGCAGCAGCATCTGGACGATTGTACTCCTTGGCAATACAAAAAGCGCACAATGCGGAATACAAAAAACAAATCTGCTCACTTCGGCGTCCGCAGTTACACTAAAACGAGTGCGCGGCAACGAGGCCGGCCGAGACTGTCGAGTGTTTCGCCAGCGGAGTCTCAAATACGCGAAGACAGCAAGTCTGACGAAGACAACCCCAGAATAATGCTTTTTAACCAAATTTTTTTCTACTTCGTAATTTCTATGCTGCTGCTTTTCTTACGTGCATAACATATCAATTTCACAATTTTATTTTCTTATTTTTGTTTTATTGAACAATATTCACTTTTCATAATCAGAAGCAGAATTTTTTCAACATTTATTATTTACGCAAGCAGTTTCCGCTCACTATACATATATTTTTAATAGTTATTCACTAATCAATTGCTTAACGAAGAATAAGTGGAAATAAATTCTTTTTGCTTTTTTGGTATGTAAAATGCTTGTTCTTAACTAATTTGCGCGTTTCTTGTAAGCAATAATGCTTGAATTAATTTATTATTAGCAATATAAAACACATACTGCTCTATCAAAAAATTATTTTTAAACACTTAAAATATCTGAAACTTAAATTAATTCTTTCTTTCAAATAATTTTTTTCATAAAAATCACGCACAAACAAAAATTCATGGATTGCTGGCCATCCATTTTCGTGTAGGGATGCCAACGCTTCATTATTAAATAACATGAATAACAAACACGCGGTTTCTGTGTTTGTTATAAAGGGCAAGTCACAATGCCCTTGTTGATCGTAGGTCTATGATATAGTAATAGAATGTATAATGTAATGTAATGAGATAATATTTTAAACTGAAGCCTATCGATGCAATAGCATAAATTTAATTCAATTGTGAGTTCTATATGACATTTAAACTTATAAGAAGTAAGTCAATCGAAAGAATTACAGTATGGAAGATATTGCATGTTCATCAAATTTTAAAAAAGTAAAAATTATATATATAAAAAATTAATTTCAATTTTTCATACAACCTGTTATATATATTTTTAATTTTAAATTGTTTTTTACATCTTTTGAGTACTCACGGTAGCTGTAAATCGTGAATGTTTCACAGTTCAGATTATGAAATATGATTCACACTGTTAATTTTATAACTATGCTAACTTACTTTTACACTAAATTATTTCTTGTTTGAATGTTTTTTAAATATGTTGCATTTGAATATTAAATCTATCATATCTTATTTAATTTGTTTTTTTACTTCATATCAAAAAAAAATACAAAAATAATATTTCAAATTTTGACAAAATATTCAATTTTCATTATTGATCTCAACTTTCAATTCAAATTTTATTAATATATAACATCATAGAAATAATTTACACAACTTGCAAAAGCATATCAAGCATTCCAAAAATATCATTTACGATATAAGGTAACCGTGAGTGTCATATCTAATTTTGTTTACCTGTATATATTAAGTTTTTTCATCACTAATAATAAAAAATTTTAGTTAAAATTAATGATTTTCAAATGTATAATCATGGCTATTAATCGATACAAAGAATGTTAAAAATTGCGACAAAAACTAAAGAATTGGTAAACTTATAAACGAATATAATTAAGCAACTTAGAACATACTTAGAAGTTTAGTCAATATTTTAATGAGTGTTGCAAATGTGATTTGCACTGAAGATAATTAAAGGATATTAGAACAAGCTACTTAGAACGAGCGGTTGTTTATGTAAGAACCGGTCACTCACTGATTGATTGCACAACAGGCAGTGGATTGTGCAAAAATAATTTGGTTGTACTTTAAGCGATTGATTATAAGCGAACGGAAAGGTTCGGTTGAACAATGAGCGATCAGTTGACAGCAAACGATTGGTTGTACAACGAGCGGTTGATTGGCAATTAGTGCTCGGTTGTAGTATAAGCGGACAGCTATTATCCAAATGGTCTATTATCTTTCGGTATTATTTTTTTTTAATAAAAAATTATGACAACGGAGCTAACAGAACAGTTGATTAAAACAGTGAAAATATAATAAAGTTGGTTTTTTTTTAAATAAATGTTTGAATTTAAAATTAAATTCAAAATTTTTGAATTTAAAATTAAATTTTTAAATTTTTGAAATAATATAAATTTAATAAGAAATATATCAAACATATACCTCAAACAGCACCTTGAACATATGCATATAGCATTATATTTTTCAAATCGTTATGAATTTTGTTTCGAAATGCAATAAAACAAATTCAACGAAACATTTTCGTTATTCACAGCTTGTGTGGTTTTTGCTTTTTTTTTGAATTTTTTGCTTTTACTGCTCAATATGTTTTTGGTCAACGTATCTACCCAATAATGGGAAGCAGTTTTTTTTAGTCTTTGAAACAATTAGATTTTTGGCACATGTACCGAAATTCTTTGAAAATCAACAAATGTATGCCGAAGTTTGACAGATGATGTAATGTTTTTTTTCTCAATTAATTTTTTTAGCTCAAAACACTAAAAATATTAATAACTTTTATGACAATTGAAATAATGCATTGAATAAACATTTCATTGCATACTCAATAAAGAAAGACGCAATAAATTAAATTTAAAGTGAGAATGAGAACTCGAAAACTGAATTAAGAATTCGATTAATTATAAGCAATGAGATAAAATAATATATATTGGTATATAAAACTGGTATATATAACTTTTAATATTGAATTATGTTCTGATACACATAAATATTAGTAATTCAACAAAACATTATATTTGCATTTTTTTAGCGCTTGCGCTTTGCCTATTTTGTATTTTCGCGTGAGTGTTGCAGAACGAGTCTCGAATTATAATATCATTGAAGACCGTAAAAATATACGTATATCGTATTAGCTTGTTACGATTTTCAATAAGATGCGTGCGAAACACAAAATATATGTACACAAGTATATGTGTTTATATATATATTTTTATTTAATTATTTGTTTGTTCAATGCTGAAAAAAAATATTTACATTTACTATATCGCAATGATTATGATTTTTTTGCAATGCCCTGGATATGTGAAAATCGTATACTATGTGCAATAAAATGAGTTTTTTAAATTTATTCATTAAATTTGTATTTATTTCACTTCCTTATGCAGTTGTTTGCTTTTAACTTAAAATGATTGCACCCTGTATGTGCGTCTCTCCTATAGTATGTTATTAGAGGTATTTAAATATAATGTTCCTCATTGAAATTGAATTGTGAAAATTGATTGAAGAACTCATGCCTTCAGCGACAGTAACTGTATCATGGATTTATCTGTATTTACTTTAATTTTTCTCTAAATAATCAATAAATTAACATTAAAACACAAGTTTCTACAAAACGAGTTAATACTAGTAGTTTTTGAAAATCTGCAGTATATTCAATAAGTTACAATCATAAACGCATCAACATGTTTTAAATTGGTATAGAATATGGCTATACATGTGATATTGAAGTCTGGTTTTAACGTATACGTGTTAACAAAGCATATGTCAGATGATTAGTCCCTACCACGGACCAACTTTTATGGAAAATGATCTTTAAGTTGATAAAATTTAAGTATTCCATTCATTTAAACTTTTATACACGATAATCTGTCCACCCATCGAGGCATGCCATGTGTATATCTTAGTCTTCCAGTGAGGGTATAAGTAAAATCAAATATAGAAGCGAAATAAATCATATTGCTTCTTCGAATTATCGCAGAGTATTAACAAAACGTTTTAATGTTGCTAAAAATATTGAAATGTTGCTGTGTGTGTAGCAACATTGTTGACAAAAAGTTCTCAAAACTATGCCACAGTCAATGTTTTTTTAATTTTTTGAGGTGCATTTTTCTTATTAAAACAGCAATGATATTTAATTAAATTATTTCTATTTAAATACCAGATTTTTTACAAAACAAAATTGATGACTTGAATAAAATACATATATTGTTTAATAAAATAATATATTTCGCTTAATCAGTTTGTTTTAAACTAATAATTGTGACTGATCACGCGATCTAAATCGTTCCAGCTGCACGAGTAATCAATCTGTAATAGTCCCTTTTTGCTCAATCCGAATTTGCTTGAATAAATTCCACCATAGAGCGAAGACGACGGACGACGTCCCAATGTGGTATTATATATAGATGTGCTTCCATATGTAGATGGACTGGCGTATATTAGCGATGAACGCTGCGCCTGCGATATGCACTCATAGCATTCCGATGCGATGCAATATGGCATTGTAGCGTATGGACTGCAGTAATCATATGTGGGTGGCAAAGGTGGCGGTGCTGGAAACTCTAACTTTGGTGCTGGTTTTGGTAAAACAAGGCCACGCTTGCGTGAGACGGCACCAAAGCCCGGTGTGTGCAGCATAAGTGTGGAAACGGATTCGTCACCTATTGAACTATGCGGTTCCGTAGAAGAAGATGAAGAGATCCCTGTTATACATAAAATATTTATCTATTGGTAATAATATTTGCTTATTTAATTTCTTACCACCATAGCCATTGTAAATAGTTTGTTCAAAATCCTCTTCTTCCAGTAAATTGGCTGTCATATGTTGCATATAATCAGCATATTTGTCATCATTAGTTTCATAAAATCCGTAAGGGTCATTGTAACGCCTGTGTAAGCTGGGCGCGCAACAGTCTAAATCACATTGGTAATGGGAGCGACGACGATTTCTCGGCATTGTAGACGACGACATCCGTGTTGATGTTATATTATCCTGTAAGTCTGTACGTGATTTGTAATAGTATCCTGTTTCAACAGGCTCACCAGCTGGACTTGGTGATATAGGTGCATCATAATAGCCACCATTATTCGAAGGAGTGGTATTCACTTTTCTGAAATTTTTCGAATTTATTAATAGGTCTTAGATGCGTACTGTTTGATCACTTACTTTCGTACATAATCATAGTTTTCAAGGTCCCATGGATCTACATAGCAGCGCTGTGTCGGTGATAATGTAGTGCCATAAATATCTTCAGTATTGTCAATCATATAGTAAGGTGACTCCATAGCTTCAAAATGTTCATCATAAATATCACGTGCTGGTAGAGGTAATTTTGGACCACGTCGGCGTGGCTTTGATTGACTGCGTTCTCGCATGATAATTTTTCAAAAGTATTCTGAAAATTTAACAAGAAAATAGGTTAATATATCATCTTACATATTTGTTTTATTTTATTGTTGTGTAATTGGATAATAGTTCAAATCATTTTAGTAACCATTAACCTATTGCACTGCATAGATTGTGAAGTAATTTGGATATTTGGTTATAGTTCGTCTGTTTCGTTTTGTTTTGTGATGATAATCTAAAAGTTACCTTAACTAAAGAAAGCTTATGACACATCTAATGTAAAATTTATGCAATTTAACAGACCTTTAGTCATTACTGATGAACAGACTGATAAGCTGTGACCAAATTACTTCCCTAAAAACCTGTTGCTTTTGGAAACTTGACTGCTATATTCTCATTAATCCTAAATAGTAACTATTTAAGATACAAGACAGAAGGAAAGCATTTTTAATGGATTTCAAAAAATTGGAAACAGAACTAATAACCAACCTATCATAATTGCTTTATGGGATTTGTGGGAAAGAATAGATAAATATAAAAAGAAATCACTCAAATCATATCCTCAACATGACTTTTTATGAGTATGTGCTTATAATAGTGTTTACATTAATTGTAGATATTATGAATTAAATACTATAATTGTTTTCCAAAAATTCCTGATATTAAATAATTAACTTCGATTTCTGGTTTCGAACCGAATGAGTGCTGTGAAATGTCGTGAGAAAATCTTGAGTGGCTCTGCATATTAGAGCCAGTAACTCCAACTGTCAATGAAACAAGTTTGATTTTGTATAAATCTGCACAGCGAATATAAGAGCCATAGCAACTTTAAATCACGTTTTAACCAACCCATGCCACAACTGACACTAAGTCTCCTCTGGCAGTAAAGCAAAACTGTGGCAATATAGTCGAATGCGTAAGAGTAAGAGACTAAGTGGCTTAATAGCATTTTTGCACGCTTAAATCTTGTTCGCCAACTTTGTTGCAGTGAGCGGAAACCCAAAGACGGAAGATCACTCGATGCGATTAGCCATTTGTTATTGATGTGGATGTTGCGAAACTTCTCTTGTACTATTTTGGTGGCGTCGATCAATTGCAGTTATTTTGCGTCTTTACATAACTCAGTTTCCTCGTTTAAGGAAGTTGTTTCCTTACAATTTGTGTTCGATTGTAACATAACCGAATCAGGACAGGTAACAACAGTGGACTTGTTGGTTACGCTTGAACTTGAATTGAAAGAATACGATCGTGATGTGATGGAAAATAAATTTGGAGAAATATTTTCGCACTTAAAATTTCCTCTAGTGGTGATGTTGACTATTGTTAAAGTATCTCATTGTTTACGTAAAATTTCACAGCTTAAAATTAAATTTAATTTTAAGATAGAGCATGTATTTTGATATTTTGATCTTGTCTACCATAGATAAACATCGATTTTACATATTGACTAAAACATACTTGCAACTCACATACTGTGTAATATTTTGGTTTAGACGCATTTAAATGTTAAGTGCAACCTAACACTCAGGTTTGTTGGTCAGTAAAATTTACCAATTCACTTAGACACTACTGTCGATTGTATTGTCACCTCTCACAACATGTGGCCTTAATTGTTAATTATGTAACCATTTAGAGATATATTTACAATATCCAATCCAAATCGGACTTTTAATAAACCAAACTTTCCCTTTGTATTGGTCCACTCAAATAATGATTAAATGAAGGAATCAAAGTAAAACACTAGGCACTACTAATAATTGTCAAAACTAATAATGAAAACGTTCTATCAATGGCGAAGTTAGGATTGTATCAAGGGTAAACACTAGAAAATATTTCTTATGAAAATACCTTTATCTTCAATGCTAATTCTAGTGAACTGATGTAATCTACTATAAGGGATCTTCTCTCTATCCATCTATTTACGATAGTTGTAAGGTTTTAACTGAAGCAAAGCATTCCCCCAAATGTTGAGAACTGAACGGCTGTGAATAAATATTATTACAATAGGTAGTGGGTAAACTTCTACTATCCTATGTCTGTTATGTAAAATATTGAAGAATGTAATATATAATTTTATTTAAAGCAACTGCCATATGTTTGCAAAATTTATAAACACACATATTGTCTTATGTAGTTATAAGAAATTTTATATTAAGTTTTATTTTCTCTTATACAACTTGGCTAGATAGCATAGTTAGTATAACCTTAATCCCATTTTCACCAATCTAAAATAATTTAAAATTCAATTACGAATGGCAATAAAATTGATTTCAAAAATGAAAATACTTAAATTTAGCTAAGGAACGGAAATTGATATCGAGCCTTCGTAAATCGAATGAACTGCCTCTCATGGTCATTTAAAATGACCACGCATGTGTATTCCATTGACCTAAAAGAGTTTCACTAACCAAAATTTTTATATAAAATAATTTTTTGCAAGGCTTTCCCTACCGCAATTAACTTAGATCAGAATGACTTCTGTAAATATTTAATAGTTAAGGCGTCTCCAAGAAGACGTATTAAAACCATGAACTTGGTACACCATTCTTCTTTAATTATTTTCTGTTTGTTGATTTTTATATAGGGAAACTGTATTTAAGAGAATTAATTCAAGGCAATTTAAAGATAGCCAAGTGTTAATATAAAATCACTGAGGCGTTCACAATGTATCTACACACAGTCAATGCAAAATGTTGGTAAACATATTTTTATACCACATAATGTGATTATGTGTTTGTTTGTAGGTAGTTTTCTTATGAAAACGATGAACTATTCGAATCTAGTACAATTATAAGATCAATCACATAAAAGAGGAGTGGAACGTGATTTATCTCAGCATTTAAGGCATAACAATCACAAGGGCAACAAGGAAATATAGATAAGACCAAAACGGTTGAATGTGATTGAAGAGCCATCGCGTCAGATCGAGAAAAATCAAACCTATACCAAGAAATTTTCGCGGAAAGCTTTTAGATAAAATGCTAGATCGATTATACTTTTGTGGATGGTGGATGTGGATGGACGGTGGATGGTTTTATCTCCTTTAAACCCCCAAGGTGACATGTCTGGAACAAATTGAGTACATTGATTTTAGAAGAACTTTGACAAAAGCAATTCGATAAATGATGATGTACAATTTGTTATTCATTTTCACCTTTTGTGGTCTGCATATACTTATGAACATTTACCATCTCTATTATATATTAGAGATAAGCACAGATAAAGTATAAAAAAGCATAGCAGATGCAGATTACAAGTGAAAACTAATTTTTGTCAGTTGGAAACTGACTGAGTGTAGACTATAGGTATGACAAGAAACTATTTGTTACGATAATTCAAAGACGTGATCAATTGAACTGAGAAAATTTAATATATATTAAAAAATCGGTGGAATAGAAGGGATATAGTCGGCTGCCTTTAAAGGGATGGTTTTCATGCATATTTTTTAGGCTTCGTTCCTTAAGGTACATAACACTTCCATTTAAAAGTCAATGGAGCAATTAAAACCAGTGAAAGTTATAACTTTTCCTCCGTAAACTCTTCTCTTCAACCGTCCCCTAAAACTTTAATAATGCTTTTCAATGAAGTACTTCTCCAAACGTCAAGCAAACAATTCAAATAAGAGCTATTAGGGAAAAGTATAAACATTAAACGCGCCATTATCTCTCTTAATTAATACATTATATAGTCTAATAAATCTTGAAATTTTTTGCATTTTCTGCTCACATGTAACCCGAACTGCACATGTTTTGTAAATGCCACTTGTTGCATAGATTGGCGCGCATGTAGTCACGAGGCAGCTACCGCGCCGTTACCGCGTTGCTGCAGCGTTGCTTTTCAAGTGCACGCAGCTGAGAAATGCATTTGCTGAAGGTTGCTTCGTTGTAATTTAATAGCAAACTGCAAAAGTATCTCGACTCAAATGCCAGCGATGCTTTGCGGGAAAAAACATAAAACCTCTGCAGTGAAATTTACTACCACCAGCCATCAGTGCCAATGTAACCTTACCTCACACGATAACAATGCTTTGAGATTTGCAATAGAGATACAAAAGCAAATAAAACGAATCGAGAAGATAGGAGATACCTGATTATTTTTGCAAATTAATGAAGTGTGAGTTATGAAATAAAATTCGGCACAAACAGATTTCATACTCAAAAAATGTTTGCATATATTTGCATATATAAGATATCGGCTTTTCAGATACTCTTACTTGTAGTACTAACGTATCTGTCTCAAATATTTGGTTTTGAATAGAAACCACCTTATGTTTGTGTAAAGAAAATATGTGACACGGAAGCAAATCTTGGAACGCTTGGAACTCTTGCAACAATTGCAGCAAATATGGAAACTAGAAACTCAATAACAATATTATGAGTGCGTTGAACTTATTGCTGGCTTGTAGCAATTGCTGCAGCAGCATTTGCTTCTTCGGGATAATAAAAATAAATAAAAAATATAAATAAATAAAAAACAAAAGAAAGCAATGGAAAGTTTATTGACTGAAATCAAAAGCTCACACGTAAAAATGTATGAGCGATTATTTATTTATAATAAATTATTTATATATAGTCAGTTGTCTTATTGAATACGTATATGTGTAGATACTCCAATTACAATTTCCTAAAATCAGATAGCTAAAAGAAATAATTGAAGTCTTGGAAGTCAAAATTCCAAAAATAAGCAACTAGTATATATTTTCAAAATGATAATATTTTGTTAGTTCAATATTTATCCTTATTTATTATAGGTGTAAGCTACAAAATTCAATAAATACCTTAGTATGTTATGAACTAGCTTACTAAGAACCCTAGAATTGTCTATTGTGAATTGCATATTGTGATACCAGATATATATATATATCGTTAACTCTTCCTAGTAGACCTTAAAATTGACAATTTGTCGGTTTAATGCCTTTTGTCTATAATGCCTCTGCTAGTGAGGTTCAGCTAACATTTCAGAAAAAGGGCCTGACTTCACAGTAGAAGTACGCCTTCTGATGAGTGCCGGACAATGACAGAGCAAATATGCAACACTTTTCGTATCTTT